GCGTATTAAAATAAGTCAAAGTGAATTAATTCAACTCTTAAAATTATCTTCTTATTTCTTTATTTTAAAGTTGTTTCTCTTTTTTCTGTGTCATGCTCAGATGTCTGTTCTAACCTTCAATGTTTCAGCGGTTGATCAAAGTTTTTTTTCCAGGTGTTAAAAATGCTGACGAAGCAGAACTGAGACAGGTGGCGTCGGAGCCGGTCGATCTGAACGTCTACAATGTGAACGACTTCCCGCTGCTCAGCAAACTGGTGGCTCGGCTGGTTCACATCCTGTGTGCGAGGGTGGAGGACCGCAGCATCTCCAAACGTAGCCCGCCCACCTGTCCGTCCGTCTGTCTGCTCAGACTGGCTGCTTCTAATCAGATTTGATCTGTTGCCTCTCTAGGAATGGAGCCCAGACCCAGTGTGGAACCACAGCTTTCCTTTCCCGGTCCAACCAGTCTGCGCTTTTCCCAGCTTGGATCCAGACAGGTGAAGCTGCACTGGACCAATCCCAGCCAGCCGGTCCAGCAGTACAGAGTGGTCTACCACAGCGCAGCCAGTCAGAGTCCAGAGGAGGTCAGATAGCTGCCTTCTCACATTTAGGAACAAATGCGCTTATTTTGAGAAAAAAATGACTTATCTTGACTTCAGTGTTTCTAACTGCAGACGTTTCTGTCCAGGTTGTGTTATCCGGCGCTGAGTCCACCGTTCTGCTGGATGGACTCTCCTCCCAGACGCTGTATCACATCTCCATATTCCCTGTGTTCGCCAGCAGCGTCGGCTCGGCGCTCAGAGGAACCGTCACCACATGTGAGCTTCATGTTGGTTTAACAGGGCGAGTAACGGGAAAGAAAGGGAAAAAGGTTGATGGAGGATCAGTGAGTCACAAAGATTCAGAAAATGTTTCCTGCCTTGTGTCCAGAGGTCAGGACTTCTACATATCTGGTGACACACGGTGAGAAAAGGTGACGTCTTCTGACTCCAGACTTACCTGAAGCGTTAGATTCTGCCTTCTTATTAAGTCGCTCAAATCGCGTTGTCTTTGCCGCCTGGCCTTGATGCTGTTCTGAAAACCGTCACCTGCTCTGCTGGCTGCGCCAATGAGGTGGAAAATGAAATGTCAGGTGCCCTCTGGGCCACCGTAGTTTGGTCAGGCTAGCTGTTAGCGCACAGCCTGCCAAATGTTGTAACGGCAATATTATTGCCATTACTGTTAATATATGATAGAAATGAACACACTCAGTGATAAAATGTTAAAGGGGATGGTGGGGGGGGGGGGTGTCATCAAGAAGGGAGATGATTTTTTAATGATTTTTTAAGGTTTTTTAAGGAGGAGGGTGCCATTCCCCCTCATCCCCCCTCAGCTGAAGTACTGGACATAGTTCTGGGTTCGTTATGAATTCTCCATGTTTTCGCCCTAAATTGAAAACAATCATTAGAAAGTTCAGCGTTCGTCGGCGTTCCAGGAGATTCTGGGAGGTCAGGCAGACGCTGCATAAACCCTCAAGGTGTTACAGGAGCCAAAGGAACTTTTTCCAGATGCAGAAATCTGATTTGTAAAGCAAGAGGTAAAATAAATAAATGATGGACATGAAGTAAAAATATGTATTTAATCTTTATTAATAACTTGATAAATATATAATTATTTTTGCTTTATGTTTATTTTGATGCATGTTTTGCAAGTAACATTAGAAGTTTGACATTTAGAAAAAGAGATCTTGCCACTTATTAATGTAATAAATATGGTTGGTCTGGTTGAGCCCCGATCAGGGAATTGTTCAACTCCGACCTCCAGGAGAGATTCTCCCAGAATCCAGGGGAGTCTGAGGAGGGACCTGGTTCTCTGGCTCCGTTGTGGATGTGGCTGTCCGTAGCTGAGGCTGTAAGGACTGTGGTGCCTGTTGAGTCAGTGGACGCCGGCAGTAAAGGATTCTATCAAGCTGAAAGAGTCCTATTGAGCCTGGCTGGTTTGTGGGACGTCTGAGGCAGCAAGCAGGAATCATGAGGCCGAGCGTTGCAGAGGCAAAAACTTGAAGAGGCCATGAAGAAAGACCATCAGTTGGCCTCAAAGCGATTCTGCCAAATCGGCAGCGGGGTGGTCTATGGTCGGGGGTTAAAGAGCTCCTACCCTGGGTACCTTAGAGCTCTTGACACACCTCTTGGACAGAGATCTAGGACACTGTGTCGGTGGTTCTCCTGCTCAAACAGGGGGAGTGTTCCAACTATAGAGGGATCACACTTCTCATCCTGTGCAGGACGGTCTGTTCCAGGGTCCTGGAGAGAGTTGGGTTGATGGTTGAACCGTTGCCTTTAGGAGCAGTGTGGTTTTGGTCCTGGCTGTGGAACACTGGACCAGATTTTATTCCTGCTTTCAGCACATGAGTGGTTCTACTGGCTCCCTCCTGCAGAGAGGTCCATTATGCACTGGAGTGGTTCACAGCTAAGTGTGCAGCAGCCGTGATGATCAGTTGCTCTAAATCCAAGGCGATTGGTCTCGACTGCAAAGAGGTTGCTTGTCCCTTTCTGATTGGAGGAGAGCTCCTGCCTCAAGTGGCGGAGTTCAAGTGTCTTGGGGTCCTGAATCCAGCAAGAGATGAGCTGCAGGTGTTGGTCCTTAGACAAGACCCTTCATGCTAATGCCTGCTCTGGGGAGTAGCGGCCTAGTGGTTAATGCATTGCGTTTGGAATCCAGAGGTTTTCTGCCACTCTGGGTTCCTGAGCAAGACCCTTAACCTCACACTGCTCCCTGGGTGGCGCACAATGGCAGCCCACTGTAGAGAGTTCATGTTGTTGCTCTGTACTTTTAATGGTATAATGACCATAAAATATGGAGCTAAATCCGTCTCAACAGATAACATATGTGATTGACACACGCAGCACGACTCACACGAGCGTGCAAGATTCACACGTCGACGGCACATGATTCGCCAAAGTATTTCTGGTCCATAAACAATTATAAATTAAATTATTTAGGTCTTTAAACTTCACTCCATTGTGTGTCAGGTTTTGCGTGAATCCTGCTGAGTGTGTGTGTGCATGTGAATCACTCGTGTGTATTATTGTGAAAATTGAGACTGATTTAGTTCTCCAATAAATCGCTGGAAACATGAATGAAAAAATAACTAAAAGAACAAGATCCTGGAAAGAGTCCATCCATGCCCTTCACACATGGTCTGCTTTTCTCCCCCCCCCCAGTGCCTCTGGCCATGCCCTCGGGCCTGGCGGTGACTCCTTCCTCCTACAGCAGTCTGCAGGTCAGATGGAGCGCAGCTCCTGGGGCTACTGACTACATGATCCTGTACTCTGCGCTGAGCGATGGGGAGCCGGATGACGCTAAGGAGGTAAGAAGTGAAACTAAAACAGAAGCAGGAGAAAAAAAACTTTAACCAGAAAGTTAATCAAAGCAGAAAAAGCTGCTGTGTCTGGATAAAAACAGTCCCCTATAACTAAAGAGCTACTGGATGCAGATCTATAGATCTAATCACTTACTAGCAGTGAGTTCAGCTACCAGTTATTCTACATCAAATGACGCTTCACTGCACTGAAGGTACAAAAACATTAGAAAAGTAGATTAACTACATTTAAGCTGCTTCTTTTAAACCTTTTAACTTCTTTCCAAATCATCACTGTGTGCTGATTACCAAACTAGGATTTATTTAATCGATCAAATTAGATCAATTGTTTATCAAAATCTTCTCTCTCAACAAAACTATGACTTAACATTCAAATTTCAAACCTAATTTTACTATTCGGGTATAAATTAAGACTTTATTCGAAGGCCGAGACGCCGCAGTCTGTTTGGCCGACCTGACCCAAACTATTTACTGCTAAATTCATTTATAATGTCTTTAAAGAGTCATTTCTTAGCAAGCTGATGCTCTATAGATTCTTTTCCAGATCACTGAGCTTTTCCTGTGACACCCTGGAGCCCAGGTGCTTTTTTCTTATCTTCATTTTAGTGAAGCCCCGCCCACCTCCGTGCCTGTCACAGGTAGAAACAGGAAATGACATAGCTGGTTCTGCAAATCCAATAGCAATGTTTGTGGCACAGTTTCTTTTGCACTGGAAATCTTTCATAAAGCTTTCTGTATTTTATGCTGGGTATTTTAATTCCATCTATTGAATCTAATGCTCTAGTCTTTTCTCTACTTCACAGCGAAATATGGCCTTTTTTCACCTGCTGTATATCAGCCAGTGCCTAACAATCCCCTCCCCCCATTGACCAGTGGTGTCAAAAGTACACACCTTTGTTACTTAAGTAGAACTATAGATACTGCAGTTTAAAAACACTCTGGTAAAAGTTAAAGTATCAACTTGACCTTTTTACTCAAGTAAAAGTGAAAAAGTATGTGCTCCAAAAACTACTTAAAGTATAAAAGTATAAAGTAACCTTTTAAAAAACAGCCAGATGCCACTATATGAACTGAAAGCTAAGCTTTAAACTATTTCTAAAAATTCTCTGAGATAGGTCCAAGGATGAGGGAGGTCTGGTTGGTCTCCGTCTCCCGATACGCTCTCGCCTGTGTCCGACCTTTCAGACATTTCAGCATCTTTTTCTGAATCCCACATTGTAGCATGGCATAGACAATTCACGTTAGCAGTTTGAAGAACACCTGCTAGCTTCTGATGGTTTCCTTTAGCTAACCAATGAGTGTTTGCGTTCTATGACTCATCCAATCACACTAGTTTTCACTAGATGTGGGCGGAGCCAATGATCTGCCTTGGATGGAGCACATGACGGGAAATAAAGATTTAGAAACATTAAACCGAAGCCGAGAGTAACGACTAATATTTAGGAATAAAATTCGGAAGATATAGAAAGTACAGATACTTGTGAGAAAATGTAATGAGTAGAAGTCAGAAGTAGGAAGAAAAATAAGTAATGGAGTAAAGTAAAGATACTTAAAAAGTGTACTTAAGTACAGTAACAAAGTATTTGTACTTTGTTACTTGACACCTCTGCCATTGACAGAGGTAGAATAGGTTAGATGCTTTGGGAATTATCTGCCCTCTGAACCTGCTGGCTGTTCATCTGCTGTCTCTGAGCACGGCTTCCTTTTGCCATAAAAGCAAAACATTCACTCAATCAGAATCAGTCATTTTTGTTGGCCACAGCTCAAGATCAATTAAATTAATTAATAACACCTCTGTGTTATCCTAACCCCCCAGCATCGAGTTGCCTCTCCTGCTCCACTCTGCCTTTCACTCTACACCTGGACCTCCGCCATCTTTCTGCTCTTTTGGCGCTAAGCTCAAGGATTTCTGTAAAATAAAACCTATTTTTCTCCCTTCAGCTAGCTAGTGGATGCTATACTTTAAAATCACATTGATAGACGCGTTGCTCTTATCTGGCTCTGAATGGGCGTCATTCTTCTGCTGTTCCGTTCCTGTTCCCGACCCCCCCTCAGTTTATAGTTAATATTTACTCCTGATTTCCCTCAAACCGTTGGTGTCATCTTCCCTTTGTCCTTTTTTCTGTGCGCCCGACTTCTGGAAACCTGACATTCTTAGTTTGCACAGCAAGTCAGTCAAATGAGTCATTGTGAATCAGTCTTTAGTTTTAATTAAGTCTTTGATCTACTTCATTACTTTTTGATTCTTTCAAAGTGGCTCAATGAACTGTCTGTTTCATTTTGGATTATGCTGGATTATGCTGGATTATGCAGTCTTTCTATGGAGCTATCTGTGTTAGTAGAATATTTATTAACCCCATGTTGTACTACTGCCATCTACACAAATATTTTCTATTCAAAGTGACAACAATTTGGTTTTGTAGTGATACAAAAAGCACAAACTAATACTGCTCTGCTTCTTCTAGCTTCTGCTCCTGAGTTCTTCTCTACATGTGCATCTAGTACATGCACAGACACGCGTAACTTACCATCACGTTCCTAACCATGACCCTAAACCGGGGGTCAGCAACCCACGGCTCCCCTTACGGCTCACTGGAGCTTTTTCAAATTTTATGAAGATAAATAAAGGTGGATTTCTTATTGTTACTTTGAGTAGTGTTTAAGAGGACAAACAAACATACTTTATGATTTCCAGTTTACTTCATAGCCTGTGAAACACATTTCAGTGCGCCGCGGTCCCATGCAGGTGGCTGTTATAGACAAACCAGTGGGTGCAATTCAATTATACTGGCTTGTTTTTGTTCACATAAACTTACCTTATGGAGAGGTTGCTGTTGCAGGCTATGCTTTATTGCACTGTTGCCCCGATAAGGAGGAAAAAGAGGATGTATTGTTACTGTGGTTTGACTCGTGAACTTGGAGGAGAGGATTTGGTTGCCGACTCACCTTTCCATTGAAGTTGTTGTGTCCTTGACTTCTGTCTGTGTGCCGTGGTTCCAGTGTTTGACTGATTCGGTGGAGGGCGGAACAGGGTTTACCCAGAATGTGGTTAGTAGGTGAACGGAGAAACTGACTGCCACTCAGATTTCCTGCGGTACTTGAACGGGTCGTAGTGGAGAATAATCCCTTTATCAGTGTGAAGCTCAAACGAAAATGGATCCAAACCTCCTGTTTGAACCCCAGCTCAGTTTGAAGCTCAGTTGATCCTTCCAGGGAGAGAAGGTCCGAGAAATCCAGTTTGCAGGATGACTTCCTGCCGAGAGGCAAAGACAAAAACAAACTTAAACTCAGGTTGACAAAGCTCAGCTTGACTCAGCAAAAACTCAGCTTGGCTAGAGTACCCTAAACTAGCAAACACTCTGGCGTCAAAGTAGTGACAGTCAGCAGCTTAAGAACACTCCGCTAACGAGGAAACCATCAGCAGGTGTGTGAGGAGGCGGACCAGAACCAGGCGCCTCCTGGTGGAGGAAGGGAGACCAACACAGAAACACAAACACACAGACAGGAGTCCTGACAGTGTCAAATTAAAGGAGTCCTATTATGCACATTTCTATTAAATCTTCAAAATAAAAATAATACCAAAAATCTGATTTCTTTATTGTATTTCTATGATTCCATCGATTCAAGACATCATAATCCATTAATAGCGTAATGGGAGTTAAAGGTAGAGCGAGTCCTTAGAGGATGCAGCCTCTGAAAACGAATGCACCCTTTGACTCAGTGTAGCTGTTTGTGATGTCAGCCTTGCTCTGCTCCCATATTAGTTCACGATAAACAGATTCTAGCTGCACTAACTCTATGTACTAAAATGGAAAACCATCTATTGTCTGTGGAAAGGAGAAGTTCAGTGCAGGGCAGACGGGGGTGGAGCTTGCAGGCTTGCTTCCAGAGACGGACTACTCCATCACACTTTATGCTCTTTATGATGAAGATCCCAGTGATCCGGTCACCTCGGTAGCCCGCACCTGTGAGTGAGTCCTGATACGGATCCATCCCTCTGACCTACAAATGGTTAATAATAACAGTACTGTTTCCTTTTTCACTGTTCCTCCTGGTCCTAAAGTACCCCTCCCAGCCCCGGCTGGAGTTCAGTTCCCGACTGTCACCCACAGCATGATAAAGGTGAGCTGGGTTCCTGGTGCTGTGGACGTCCCGGCCCACAGAATCACCTACAGCACCAACCATGGCAGCAACATTAAGCAGGTAAAACTCTGACTTCTGTGGGTTCATTTGTTTTCTGTTATTGCTTCAGTGATTCCTGTCATCAACCAGACACAGAAAACCAGCCGAGAACTGGACCCAGAATTAGGAGATGGATAAAGATCGTTTTACCTTATAAAATAAATATTTCAAAGCTCCTGTTGCACAGATAATTGGAGAAAGAATGAAAAACATCAATTAGAACAACTTTAAACAAAAGCTCTAAACAAGTATGAAATATTTAATGGGACATTTTCTGGTTAGTAAAATTAATTCCACAGCTGAAGGAAATCTAACAGAAATCACAGAAATATTTCACTCAGATTGTTTTGATAGATCTAGAAAAGGCAGATAGACTTCTTCTAGGGATCTTTCTTGGCCCAAATATAACATTTGCAGTGATTCTACAGTATTTGGGTTTTTTTGTGCATCCTAATTTGAACGATTTACCGGAGAGGTCCGGTCAGCAGGAATAATCAATGGATCATTATTTAGACCTGAAACTAATACGTTTGCAGTGATTTAATGAATATAGATTTAATCGGTAAAAAAAATAAAAACAATAATTTTCATCACAATCACTGAGTCTGGGAGCGG